GCCCCGCGCCCGCCCGGGGCGCAAGGGAGTGTGGGAGCGCGGCCGCGTGGGCACTGGGGCCTGCCAGAGTCCCCAGCTCGGGGCCAACCTGCCAACCTGCAGATCGGCCGGGGCCCCGGGCCCGGCCCCCCGCAAGGCCAGCTCGAGGCAGCCCGTGCAGGCCAGAGGGGCTGTTGGTGGTGTGTGTTGCTTCTAAGAGGACCCGAAGCGTGGGACAGGGTCCACGGCTCCCTTTGTCCCCTACCTGCCCAGACGCCAGGTCCAAAACCCGTGTGCCCCCACAGTGACTTTCGCAGGAAAAGGCCTCGGCCGCCTCCCCTCTAGGCCGGCCATCCGGCTCCTAGCCGACTGGGACCCCCTGTGAGGGGGCCGGTGGCCCTAGAGGTCGGCGGACGTGCGGCGCGAGTGAGCCGTGGTGCCAGAGCTCTGGAGGCGGGAAGGGCCGTCGAGTGGACAGCTCGAGTGCTGCCATTTTCTTGGGGGAAGTGTCAGGCCAATACCCCGTCAGTGGGGTAATTTCTTTTCTGTAAGGCCCCTGGAGCGACAAAGGTGGCCTTGGGGCAGCGCCTCCACAGAGTGGAATTCTGGGACCAGATTTGGGGCGATAAGGCAAGAGGCAGCTAGAAAACGCAGGGCCTCATTCCCGAGCCGCTCCCTTGGGCCCTTGCTCTCCTGCAGGCCTCAGATCGGGCAGGTCAGGGCCTTGCCATCCGCACGCCGGGGTTCACCTTCATGCTAGGCCCGGAGCCTCGCCAGATCATGCCCGAGCCCGCAGGAAGTTCCCCGCAACACAGCTGGAGGGAAGGGCAAGAGGGCGTGGGGAAGGGCCCAGAAACGGGCATCTTTCCTGGACTCCAGAGTCCTCTCCACACGCAGGGTGTGAGCCCAGTTACCAGGAGCCACAGAGCACCGGGTCACCCTTCCTGCCCCCCTCTAGCCCCTTTCCCAGTACCCGGCCCCCTTTCCGTTGTTGGGGCTGGAAGGTAGTCCTTCTTGCTTTTTGTCGTCTGCGTGGTGTTCTAAGTGATCCGGAAGGGATTTTTGCAATCGTCTAAATTTTCCCCGGGGCAGGGAAAGGGGTGCTAACAAGAAGCATCTTTCACAGCCATTTACGTAGTCAAAGACGGGCAGACGTTTGATGGAGGGCTAACGCGCTAAGTCCCGGGCCTCGCGGCTCGCTGCTCCTGGGGCGGACACGTGCAGACGCTGCTCTAGGACTTACCTGGCGGGCGGGCCGGTGCGAGAGTCCCAGCCTTGCCCGGGCAGCAGAAACAATACTCCAGAGCACCAATCGCCCACTGCAGTACTGTTCCCGCTGCTAGGGCACGGCTGAGTGCGGCCCACCGCGTCCCTGCTCGGCGCGCACCAGCTGCGCGCGGCCCCCGACCACCCCAGGTCCTTGACCGGCGGTGGCGCCCTCCCCGGACTACGGCGGTGCCTCGTGGGCCGGGGACGGGCGTAGAGGCAAGAGCAGGAGAGACCAAAGCCCCCGCCCACCTACCTGCTCCCGAACTGGCCTTTGGGAGCGGGCGCCCCGCAGGAACACACGTCCAGCAGAACCCAACCTTCCAACTCCCCCGCGAGGGGGTATAGCAGCGCCTCACGTTTTGAACCGTTTAAAGCACTTCAAAACATGAATTGCTGCTGCATCCCCTCGGAGTCAACGAAGGGAGGGATCGCTCTGGGGTACCTGCAGGTGGAGAAAGACATGATGACTGGAAGGAAGCCCCCTCAAGTCGCACCCAGAGGCGAAGAATAAAGCAAAACGTAGGACTAAGACGCGTCATTCCAGACCGACGTACTTTTTAGAGCTTCATCGTTTGACTTCCAAGACTGGCAGGTGGAGCAAAAGGTGTGACTCTCAATATTTTTTTTCCCCCCAGCGGCTGAATCTTGGAAAAGTGTAGGGTGAAAAGCAGAGGGGTGGGAGACAGGAATGAGGATGGGCAAGAGTCTTACCTCTGAAGGTAATAATAATAAGATAAAATAAACTGAGGCACTTTGGCAATATCTGGATCACTCCTGGGAGCTTTAAAGTCTTGGGGAAACTTCTTCCTGCTGCATGTTACAAATCATAAGTCTCATGTAATGTCCCCGTGGGGGGGGGGGAACACACAACTTTTCATTTATTGACTTAAAGGAGATAACCAAAATGTCTCTGGCAGCTTCAGCTGATTCTAACATGTAAGAGAGCTGGGAAATATAGATTCATCCACACGAGCATCCGATGTCCTCTTTAACTCCCAGTGCCTCATTCTTGCAGCACACACCCTGCTTTGAGCTCTTCTTAAAGGTACCAAAGTATGAGAGATAACTGCCCCTAAATAAAATATCTGGATGTTTACATATGAAACTGGTTACTCAAACTTATTTATAAATAATTTATACCTTTCAATGTCACCTATCAAACCATAAATCAAAAAAAGTTTAAATACTTGATGTCAATTCACTCCTTCCTGTCTCAAGCAGTTCCACAGAAACTCTTTCATGTCCTGAAATGGCCGGCACAGTGCATACTCTTTAATGATTAACTCATTAGATACCACCTTTTCCTTTTTAAAATGGACACACATAGCAATAAGTTACATGGCACCCACTCCCCCTCCTTTAAGCGAAATAGTCAATTAAGCAGAGAAGAAACTACTCTGTAACTTCAATCACAAACCTAAAAGTTAAAACAACAAAACCAGCACAAACTCTAATGGTTTTGAAAACTAAAATACATTTCAGTACGGTAATGGACACTTAAAAGTATCCAAGTCTGCTAAGTGTTCTGGTTCATTTAAAAATCACGTCGGTTTTTCAGAACCAGTACAATGGATGTTGTGTCCTATTTATTAGTTAGTGAAACGAGCAGAGTATTTAATCGGACTAAGAACAAAACTCATCACACCAGACGGAGATCCAGTGTTACCAAATACACTACTTATGTCACGGTGAACACAGTTATCAATATAATAACTCCACTCCCTCAATTGGGACATACAATTAAGTGTCTCTAAATTCCATCTTGTTTTGGCTATCCTATTTACAAACAACTTTTACAGTGACTTTTGGGATTAATGGCGAAAAACGTCCTTGGTTGCCCTTAAAAAGAAAAAAAAAAACATGTTTAGCAAACGTACAGTTATGCTTTAAAACTCCACAACCCTCTCCCAATTATTTATGTTCCACACAAATATGTGAACCATCACATCAGATGTTGAAGTCATCCCTAATTTAACATTTCCTTAGTTGACTACTGAGCAAAACAAAAGTTATTCGAAATAGTGGTGTCAAAGGCGAAGGTCCCCTCCAGATCGCTCTGCCAACTCACTGGAATTGAATTCATTTTGTACCTTTCACTTAACCCCTTTCTTCTCTCCCAGTGACAGTACAACAACGACTTACATTCCTAAAGAGCCACGTCGCTCCCCGAGTTTACGGGTTTCCCCTTAGACTGAAATTTACTTACGAAAAGAGATTACAAAGAGGCGTCTTGTCACTTCAGGAGACGGTCAGTCGCTGATACAATAGACAAAGAATTGATACTTGCGAGTGGCCCATAGCTCCACCCCCCCCACCCCCGCCGAACTGAACTGTGTTTGGCCAAACCATGTAAGAGCCAAAGAAAACGCCTCTTCCTCTGTTCACATTTTACAACGTTTTTTCTTAATTTTGCAGATGCCTTCTTCCCCACGCCCCAAACACACGATGTCCCTTCCCTCGGCGCATTCGTGCCAAACTTTCCCAATGTCAAGTTTCCTCCAGGGAAAACTAAACATCCTTGAAAGTTTTAATTGGGTAAAGACAATGCAAAATTAATCATATTTCTTCCCAACACTTATTTTCCTGCTTGCAAATAAGAGCCACAAAAAGTCCATATACAGTGGGTCAAAACCGGTGGCTGCGGACCCGGGCGAGGCTGACAGTCGGTCACTGCCCCTCTACTCACTTTGCTCTCCCCGCCCCTCCATGTTAGCTTCTCCCCCCACCCCCACCCCCACCCAGCCCGTTTCCTAAGAATTTTCCCGGCCGGACTCGTGTGCTGAACACTTTCAAGGTCTGTTTCGCCCGCACCCGGGCCCCCAACGCGCTTTACAACCCCAAAGCAACACAGAACTTTTTCAGCATTGTCACCAGATTTTTTTCAGTCGGCCGTAGCCAACGTTACTGGCGGGGAAGAGGCCAGCCAACAAGTCCCTTTTAAAAAAATCGCATGTCACCTCTCGCTCCACTCGAAAATGGCGCCGAAATCGAAGAACTTCTTAAATTTCATTGTCAGCTTTTTGCAAAGGTTTCTGGGATTTTCCTGCGAAGCTGCTTCGCCTGGTCTGAGAGCTAGCGAACGAGCAAGCAAGCAAAAGAGAGAGGGAGGAAGGGGTCGGGGGTGGGGGAAGGACGCAGACAGCCACAGAGCAGGGCCGGGCGGGGAGCAGGGCCGCGACTCGGG